TCAATTGGGAGCCCTCATCCTACCCTTGTGCGGATGTTGGTACCCCATGAGCTGGTTTTGGATTTAGAGTGAACTAATCAACATATGTCTTCACACATGTCTGAGGTTGTCTGTCTTCCTCCCTTGATTACCCCTTTTTTGTTGTGGGTCACAATAAGAATACGTGGGATGTCTTTGTCACTGTCCTGGGGCTCTCCCTCATTCTCTCTTGTAAAGTAGATGTGATTGCCCTTTGGATGTTCTGGACTAGTTTCATGGTCGTGGGATTGATTGTATGTGATGCACTTCACTAAGATGCTGGATGTGCCATTCCTGGCTCCCTAGCTCAGTGCTAATCATACCCTGGAATCGATTTATTATTCTCGTCCACGATTTTGGGGTTTGAGGTCAAGATGATATAACCCTCACCCTACCCTCGCGAGGATGTCGGTACCTAGCGAGGAGGTTTTGGATATAGTTGACTTGCTGAATATGGTCTGTCATGCCCTAGCCACTCTACACCATGGGACTCATCCTCGTTTACCCACCTTCTTCCTGTGGGATGGAGATCATATCTCCTCACTGAAGGATCACTCCCTGCTATATTTACTCCCACTTGGATGTGCTCTCTTCTTTTTCCACCAATTTCTTCCAATTTCAAACTTGGCAATGAGTATACCTGGATCAGAAGTGGTGCATCTGATGCTCTCACCTATAGGTGTACCCTTTGAACTCTTTCGGGAGGTACATCTGTTTTTCCCTCACACCAGTCCCTCCTCTTTATCAATATGGTATTCTAGCTAATCGGAAGTTATAATTTTCCTATATGGAAAATCTACCAGGAAAAGCTTCTCTGGATATCAAATACTGAGAGGTCTCTTTGTTAATTTTACTGTTTTGGAGGAGTTCTTTAAGCTTATCAGTTATGGTCTTAATAAAGTGAGGTGTTGGATCATGTGAGATATTTTTTAGAAATTAGTGTCCTCTAGTTACTGGTTAGCTTCTGTGATATAGTCATCTTTGTTAAGAATAACAATTGCTCCACCCTTGTCTTCTGGCTTTATTATAATGTTGATGTTCGATTTAAAATTTTTTAAAGCGCTTCTTTCATTTTGGTTAATATTATTAGGACATTGCTTGAAAGATTTTAAGGTCTGTATTATGTCATTTTCTACTGCTTTAATATAACTCTCTAAATGTAGTTCTCTGTTTGGTGGAGGTGTCCATAAAGACTTTTCTTTAAAGTTTGGTGATGTTGATTTTCAGTAGGGTGGGTTTTTGTTGTGAAAAAATTCAAGAAGTCTTAGTTTTCTAGAGAATTCATGAAGGTCAGAAAGAAGTTCGGGCTCATTAACATAGCTGTTGTTTGGGCAGAAGTTAAAACCTTTACTAAGAAGACTGAGTTCTGCTTCAGAGAGAGTTGTGTCTGAAAGATTAACAATGTTTGAGATATGTCGGAAGTGTTCATCGTTATCTGTACGTTTATGAGGTCAGTATTATTTTCAACAGATTTGTTAGTTTGAGAAGGCTTATGCTTATTAGAGGATGAAGCATTTTTAAACGTTTTTTTAGGCTGTTCATTGTGAGATAAAAGGATTTTGGTAGTTTCTGGTAGACTGCATAATGTTATGGTATGTTGACAACGTTTTGTGCATTTCTTAGTGAGTTTTTGAAATAGTTGTTTTCTGCTGTAGTTGATTGATTCACCACTTGGTTCACGTTGACAGATATTGGTGTGAGGACGTAGTTGTAATCGTGAGATAGAGGATGGTTAAGTTTGAGGGAAGGAAGAGGAGAGTAACTATCTTCTTCAGAGTGTGGAGTACATTGCTGGTTGTTCTGAGAGTTTACACTAACAGACGAAAGACTACTGTGTTCTAATGAAGGTAATTCTACAAGTGACTGAGCGACTGGTGAAGATTGTAGTATGGAACATGTAGCGTTTACACTGGTAGTGATTTGGTGTGGTTTTGTAGATAAGGGAGTGGAAGGGTTTGTGGGTAAACAAGAACGAATATTGCTATTTGTGGAATGTGATGTTTTGAGGGAAGTGTGATTTGTGTTTAACCCTTTAGCAGAACTTGAACGATCACTGTGAGAGAGTGAATGGGTGTTTAGTTGGGTAAGTTGAGTGATAGAGGTATTCTTGTGAGAGTCATTGGTAGCTTCTGAGATATGGAGAAATGTAGAATTTGGACTGGGAAGGGTAGAAGAACTATTAGAAGTAGAAATAAGAAATGACTGAGGTAACTTCGAAGAGGAAGACAAGAGTGGGAGAATGCTTCAAGAGATGCATTCTTGAAGTTTGAGGCCAGGGTAAAAATACCAGAAAAGTTGAGGTGAAGTCCCTCTAGTGCAAGAAAATTAGTGAGTGGTATTAGGTTTGTGTGGTTGTTGAAGGCAAGCTGAGGGTTAAGTCTGCATAGGTGTTTGGTTAATTCATTAAGATGTTGAATTTTGTTGTTGAGTTGTTTAATTATTGTGCTGTTTTGTGTGTTGCAGTCAGTGAAAGTGTGTGTTCACAAGTCTATATATTACACTAGAGATACCCAGTTTAATATGTGGTCTGAGGCTGAAGATATGTGCTATTGTGTTTTCAAGTTCTGAGAAACAGTCTTCAGCAGTCTTATTGGATTATCAGAAATCAGATAGATTCAGGAAGAGAATTGGTCATAGCTATGACATCGTATATTTTAGCTCCAGTGATGGATTTTGACAAGATTGGGTGTCCATTAATAAAGGTTAAGTGTTCGTGTAGGTACTTAAGCATTGTATCATCTAAAATGCTTATGTTAGGAAATAAAAGAGTATACTTAACTGAAATGGGTTCATGTGGTGAAACATTCATGATGTTAGAAAAACATGTAGGTTCAAGAAGTCTTGATAGAAATAAATAAAAACCCTATAACCCGAGCGCTTTCAAAAGGTGGACCTTTTTCATTTGAATGAGTGATATATATAAAGGGAATTTAGTATGTCATGAAGGTCATCTGGTTTCCAGGCAATGTTTAGTCTATTTCTCTATGTACTGTTGTAAGCATCTCATTTCCGGTACAGAGTAGCAGATGGTGAGAGTGTATGTGAAAAGTTGTTTGGGATGTTTTACTTTAGAAATGGATAAATATATGTATATTTAAAACTATACATAAGTGTTTAAGTAAAATAAAGGTGACACCTGGAGACTGTTTGAAAATGATATGTTTGTTTTGTCTGGAGTCGTACTGACTTATCTGAGGAGAGAGAGCTTTTCTGTCTGTCTCTGACAAATCAATTGAGGAATTGCTGGAATTAAAAGTGAAAGACAGCTCTGACACTTAGCCAAGCCTTTGAATTGACATCCCAGTTGATATAGGAGCAACATTCAGTGACAAACAATAGTTAGGAGTGTTAGTTGATTTTAAGATTAATGTGAACAAAAGGGCTTAGCTACCCTTGTTTTCCAAATGCATAAGTAGAGTTTCTCTGAAGGAGATTGCCACCAGATATCAGATGATAGCTGCACAATCAAGAATGTAAGAGAGTTTACACAATTGAAGAAGATAGCTTTCTGAGCTATCAAGTGAATTTCCTCCTGTGAAATATTGTGCAATATTTTGAAAGAATCACTTTTGTGATCTAGCTGAGTGGTAAGAACTTTAGAAACTATGCCGTCCTGTTTTGCTAGATTTTTATCTATATACCTAGGAAGTATGCCGATTCTTCATGCAGTGAAGGTATGTTTTGTTTGAGTGTAAATTGACAGCACGAATATTAATCCTGGGTGATTAGAGTTTTAGTTAAAAAGTATTAGTTCTGCTTAATTTTACCAAATGGCACCGGCAATCATGCACACTTAGTTCTGGGAATCAAGTTTATGATTTTATACGAACATAACTACATCTAGGCAATCAAACATTAGGGTACTTTAGGTACATCTTCACTGGACAATAAACTTTATAGCACATGCCACTTTACTGTTAGAGGTAGAGGAGAATAAAGTTAATGTGGGTATAAAATGAGTCACTTTTATGTATAAAATGATCTACTACAAAGTGAGCCAGAAATTATTATTTTTTGAATCTGCAGAATGCTGATTCAATACTACATGTTTATTTGTCATTGCACATTATGAAGACTGTATTGCAATCATAGCCTATGTACACATAATCAGGCTTTAGTTTTCCCTTTAGTTTTCTAACCAGAGCTAGTAGTAATTATACAGGAGTTTTTTTCATGTAAACAGATTAGACTTAACAGTGGTACAACACACATCTCTGTTGCTAGTTGTGTAACCAGTGACTACTGAGTCACATCCTCACCATTCGTGTGTGTGTGTACAAGCAGAATGCATGCATACCATTGCCCACAGTTGCACCAACAGTACTAGCTCTTATATCATGTGATCCTGAAGCTCAACAAATTTTAATTAATTGAAAAATAATAATGAGAAATCATTATAGCAGTATATTGATTACTTAGATAGTTGGAATAATTGAAAACTAATAATCAGAAATGCTCATTTCAGTTTGTTGATTATTTTTGTGACATTAATCTATTTAATTTTAAACATTATTAATTAATAGCTTTATGCAACACTATTCATTGTAATTTAGTTTATCAACCAGTTCTGTATCCTATGGTTATGTGATTTGTGCAGTTAAGTGTGTGTATATATATATTAAAGAATATATTGAATTTTGCATTTTGTATTTTCTTGCTTGGTCTTATGCAGTAGGTGGGAGGGAGGGAGCCTTCAGAGGTCAGCAGGCCTTCTGTGTTCATTGTTTTTCTTGCTTTTACATTTTTAGCTTCATTCAATTAAGAATTCTGTTCTCAAAGGAATAACATTTAATCATTGGATCATTTTTAAAGTATTTGTGTAAATTAACTTGTGATTGTAAGATATAAACAAAGAAAAAACTTTTATGAACTAGTTATTGAACTTGACAAAATGTTTAAACAATCAGTAAAAAAAAAATTAAACAGTTACATTTTAAATTATGTTATTTAGATTTAAACAACGTGCCATGTTTTATGCATAGGTAACCACAAATGTTTTTTCATCTAAACCATCGACAATAAGCGTTTCTGTAAATGGAAAAAAGAAAGAGATCAAAGAAGGATATGATGTCATTTTGGAGGACACTGTGCTTTTCCCTGAAGGTGGAGGTCAGGTAAGAAGTAACTGCAAAATTGGAATAATCATTTCTGTGAACCATGGATATTGTGCTTGTATTTGTTATACACATGTCAGCAAATCAGTTTTGTATTCTAGTAGAAGCTGTATAGAAACTCTGAAGAGGATATGTGAAATGGGCATCAGATCTCAAACAATGAGATCAGTGAAACTGGATAAGGGTACTTTTTACAAATGAACCCAAACTCAAGTTGTTTAGTAATAATCTATGATAGTTTCTTTGATGGCAACGAAAAGAACAGTATCATGGTTGTTGTATAACATCTAGTGCTTGAACAGGTACCAAAAATCATGGATGGGTAATTTGGGCAGGTATCTGGGTGCCCGAAAATTTCAGACCACTATCAACACGACAGTTTCTAACATGCAGAAGACAAGACATTATGAACCATGATGTCACACAATTTAAGTTTACTTCATGTGCAATGTTATCTTTATTTTTCAAGTAAAAGCATATCTAAATCTTCCGGTAATAAAAAGTTATGAATGTTTGGATGGAAAAGTAAAAGAACACAGTAAATGATACAGTTATAAATGAAAGATGGAAACGATGTTAACCCAAAACTTTTTGCAGCCATCATGTATACTGTAGCATGGGCCTGCAAAGTGTAGGCTACTGTATGTATTCACACTATTCTGCATGAGGTGCTGAAACAAATTCAAACAACCATCTCTCCATTTTTTTTAATTTTCACCAATTAGTAATGAGTACCGATTTATTGGTTGGGAAACTAATATCAAAGTATAAAGTTTCCAACTGTTTCTTCAATTGGATACTATTAACTTATTGATATTGGTGACTGGTAACAAAACAAAGTAATCTTTAATGGTTCGCAGGCAATATCTATACATGACGATGACACTTGGCTTGTACGTATGTCCATTTATGTATGAATGTTATGGTATCTACAGCCACCTGTCATTATAACACACATTGAGAGATTACAAGAGAGCTGAGTGTGCCTGCACTATCGGAAAAGTGAGCACAATCGATGGACAGAGCTTACCTGAAATATTTTATTGACAAAACTTTGATAATTCCCCATTAAAATTAGTGTGTGAGTTTCTCACTTAAATTCAGTGAAGTGAAAGAATGACTCTACGGCAATGATTGCCGTATCCTACTACCTCGAATTATGATGAGAAGCAGCTAGCTACAGTTGAAACAAGTTAAACTAGTTATACAGAATGGTAGAAATTTTTGGAAAATCATATTTATGTTGATACAATAATTTACAGTATTCACTATCACAAATCACACAGTCATCAGGTTTGAAAGTTTCCTATGAGTGATAGGCCTCATTTGTGTCCTAGAATGTTGATCATGCCATGCTACAAAATAGTGGTAACTACGTACTGACTGCACGTAGTGAATCAGTCAATAATCATTTAACAAAGAAAAATTTTAAATGGACTATTCAAAATTTCTTGCTTACTTAATTGATTCTTTGTTTTTCTATATTCATTATTGTCAATGAAAGAGGTAAATGTCAGTATGGTATAAGCAAATTTTGAGAGTATTATGAATGGTTGAATAACTTGATTTATAATGTACTTGAGGATTTTTGTACACTGTTAAACTACCACTAGAATTTAACCTGAGTCTCTACAACTGTGATTGCTTCCACTTTCGTCTTCTATCTCTGTGTCATGATTGTTTTGTTTACTATTTTCTCTTAAAAATAATAGTTTGTCTCCAGCTCTGTTTACATTGCTTTGTCTTAAATTTTCATAATTTTTTTTTTAAGAACTAGATAGGAAATTTAGAACCAAGTAACAGTCGTGACGAGTGGGTGCCTGGTAAAAACACTAATAATATCTACAATGAAGTATACTTGGGGACCTATAGAAGTATGGGTTGCATCTGAGTCATTGTTGTTAAATATTTACCTAAAATTGATATCACCCTGACTTCTGACAAGTACAAGCAAAATTTTATTCATTTTGTCATTCCCTCATTAACAAGACATATTTGGCAGGGATTTGGATTCCTGCAATTCAGTGATTCAAGGCATTCAACAAATTTGCTGAAACAATACCTGGAAGGAAAAAGTCTTATGGAATACAGCACCCTTGGCTTGGCATACTCAAAGTACCAATAGAAATATTATTAAGGCTGTATTGGCCTATATGTAAATTGAGAAGGTCAGATAGCAACCAAACAACTTGGCTGAATTGTAGGGAATAACACACGGTATTTGAAATAATATTTCACTATCACACTTTGCTAAATTTATAGCAGCAAAAAAACAAATCAAATTTGAATCAAATACAAATTATCATTGCATTGTGAAAGTGTAATTCACTTCTCGTACTGATCGTAAACTTACCGTTTAGTTGCACGTATTCATTGTTTATGGCTCTTGGATTCATAACACCTGTGTATTTCCATAATCAAGAGAGAGAGTAAAATTATAGCATTTATATCTTGAAAAAAAGATTTTAACGATTTGAAATTTTTTCTTCTTAGCCAGATGATCGTGGTGTTATTGCTAATATCCCGGTTCTGAGGGTGATCAAAAAGGGTGGCCAGGTTGTTCATTTTACTGAAAGAAGCCTTCCAGAAGGTGCTGAAGTTGATGTGGAAGTTGATTGGACAAGGAGATTTGATCATATGCAGCAACATTCGGGTATGTATTGCTACTTGTAAAGTTATTGCAGAGAAAAAACATATAATAAATATTTAAGCTATATCCATATTGTTACTTGATTTATTCATCGTTAAAATTATTCTTCAAAAGGTGGAGAAGTGCAATGATAAAATGAATAAAGAAGTTTTACACTTTACTACAACTGTTTTAATAGTGAGCTCTGAGTCTTATTGTGAGAACTGTCTTGATATAAACTGAACACCAGAGAAAGTTGTTAGAAATATTATTATACTTCTGTACTCTGTCTGCAGGTGTTTAATATATGAACATTAAAATAGCAAACATATTATAAGTCCATTTGAAAAACTTAAAGATAGATAGAGAAATAGATTAAATTAAATTACATTTTGTAGAGAAGGAAAAAAATAAGTCTATATATTTGAATAGATTAAAAATATATACTTAAAAAATAAAAATGCAGCCACAAAACAAATATCCAACACTGGAGAATAAATTATAGGGTGGGTCATTATGTAATGTTTTTTTTTTTGAGGTACTGGAAGAAGTAAGACCCAAACTACCATCTGTTCCTTTTCTCTTTATTTATATGCATGGGAGGGTAAATTAGATAGTTGGTGCACTCACATTTGGTTGCTCAAGCCTACAATGTCCCACATCTTTACCACCTTTTGCTGTCTGCAACCAAAAGTGGGAAGCTGGTTGCTCAGAAAAACAACAACAAAAATAGTATGAAAGATAATAATTAGAAGACTATGCATCAATGAGGAAATGGCAACACTGTCCTTGAAGTTAGCATTCCAATCCCCAGTATGATGTTTGGACCTAAATAGTAAGATGTTAAGGTAGTACGATACTAAGCCCAACATTTTACTATTAGTATAGCCCCCATTCTCCACCCTAACTTCAAATTGAGGGTAAACTGAATAGGTCACATAGGTGATATACTCTTAATGCAAGTTGGGCCTTCTACCAGTACCTTAAAAAAACCAGGGCACATTACATAATGACTCACCCAATGATTTATGCCCTGGTATTGGATATTTGTTTTGTTTTTAAGTATATTTTTATTTTTTTATCTATGTTTTTAGTTGAACTCTTTTAAAAAAGAAATTCTTAGTTTTTTAAATTAGTCATATTTTATTAACATTTTACAGGGCAACATTTAATCACAGCTGTAGCTGAAGACTTGTTTAAATTTCACACAACATCATGGAACTTAGGTGAAGTTGTTAGTTATATTGAGTTGGATACAACTGTAGTCACAAATGAACAACTGAATGAATTGGAGACTGTTCTTAATCAAAAAATAAGAGACTGTGTTCCTGTAACTGTTCACATGTATCCTCAAGGAGCTCCTGAATTACAACAGGTCAACAATTCTATTGCAGTTATTAGATGTAAATTTGTATAGTTTGATTTAAGACAAGGAAATGATTTACATTGTATCAGTAATGATTTAAAAAATAATTATTGAAAAATATAAATTAACTGTGAACATTTGAAATGCATATTTGCTTTTTGAAGACTAACATTATACTTTTTATATGTAATTTATAACACTTTTAAACTTTTGAATTCAACACAAAAGTAAAACAAGTCTCCTCAATCTCAGTTGATTGATGGATAAATTATTTTTATAAGTACTGCTTGTGTATACCTAATTTGAAAAATTTCATTTCCATTACTATGTAAAATATACAACTTGTTATCATTGAAGTTTTCTGAAAATTAATATTTTTACTAGCATATAGCCCGTCAAAAATAATGGGGCAAATACTACCACCCCCACCCCATAATGTACCCTAACCTTACATCTTATAGCTAACTGAAATAAATATTGTGAAATCAAGTTTGACCAACACAGAAGCAGAAAAGTGCAGTCATAGCAGTCAAACTTCAGTTAATTCCTTTGTGAGCCAATCAAAAGTAAGATCATTCATGAAAGGAACTCATGGTGTATTCATATCAGTTATATAAACAACTTCTAATATATAGAGAAGCCAGTGCATTTGGATAACACTACATTCCAACAAAGGCTTTTATTTCATGTTGCATAGTAACAAAAGTATATCCTAATGTTGTTGTTAATCTATGTACTGAAAGTATAAAATGAAATGTATAGACAGCAAACTGGAAAAAAATATTTGTTGATTTCTTTATTTAAAGTCTTCATTGGTGATATAACAGAATATATATATATATATTTAATATATACATTAAATTTTTTATAAGTGAGGAACTCAGTTTATAGCTTTTTATCTTCTCACTAGATTAATTTGTAGAAAACATGACTTTAATTTTATGAAACTGAATGCATAAGGAAAAATTCTAAATAACTGTATTAATGTTGTAAGGAAATAGCTATTTACAAGTGCTACATATTTTTTCTAAACTGTGACTGAGTTTAGTGTGCACTTAATGTTGTAATCAGTCCAAAATATGTAGTACATTTGTAATTGAAACTGTGATTGGCTCAGGTATATGTATTATAGGTGGATATTCAGATCATTGTTAGTTCTGTTAATTCAGGAATTCCTGATCGCATAAACTTAATAATGCTTGTCTAGTATGTGTAATATGTCTATGTGTGTCACTTATGTTAGTATGTCATCAAATTTGTTATAATAATTGTATGGCTTCTGTTACAAAAGTTGAAAGTGAAAGAAAATATTTTTTTCAGTGTGAACTTTCAGCTTCAGTTCCATCCAAGAGATTTTATATTATTTTTGAAATATTTATTTTAAAAAAATATTACAGATATGATTAGAAAAGGCAAGTATTGAAAAGAAATGGAAACATGATTTAAACCACATCATTTCATAGTATGAAAAGTTTTGAAAATAATTTTTACATTAAAAAACAACATGGAAGATAACTGTCTAAAATGTAGATATTAGTGTCAAAATACATAGGTGCGAACTAGATTAGAACTACCAGAGGACCACGTGGAGCCTGTCAGAGTTGTAGAAATAAAAGAAGTGGATTTGAATACTTGCTGTGGCACTCATGTTTCTAACTTAAGTCATTTACAGGTGAGTTTTTTATCACATTCTAAGGTTTAAACAGTTATAAACAAACTTGTGTGTAAGTAATGAAAGCTGCAGGGCATTTTTTTTTCCTATATCCTTTTGTAATGTTTTAAAAATGTTTTGAACAGATAACAAGAGTATCTATAATGTCATTTCCACTAGTAGGTTATAACAGGATAAGCCATTCATTTTTCTCTGCCAGTAAATAATTCAAATACCACAGTCACACAACCCTGAACTATTTTGAAATTTCAGACTTGTAAGAAATATTTTAAAACTACTTTCTGTGTAAAGTAATCAACAAGGTATCATTCAAGTTCACTAAATAATTTTGTTTTATTACATATATTTTCACAGTATCTAAACTAATAACAAATTAGCAAAGGCTTTTTCTCTATTTGTTTGTATTCCAGAAGATATAAATTGCTGTCTGAAATGTTTTAATGAATAGATATTTTTACTGTGTGATTGAAGTATGTTTTCAAATCAGGGATATACCAATAAGAATGTTGAATGACTATATATTAAATGGCTGCCAATAATCGAAAATTATTTTTTATTCCTTCTGTTACCTAATTTAGATCTGGGTTATTAATGGAACTTCCTAATTGATTAATCACCAAGGTCAGAATCTAAGGGGTGTTGCAAAATAAATCACATTTTTTCCCCGAGAGCATAACAAAGTAAAAAAGATTTTAATTCAATCAAAAAGTAATTCCAAGTATCAATATCGCTTGATTGGGCCACCATTGTTCTCAGACATGAGTCTTAATCACTTTGTAAAAGATTTTAGCAATGTAACAAGCATGTCTGTTTTTTGTGGCTGTCTCTGTGAGCACATCAGTGAGAACATGAATCAAAGTTTCACGTTTGTATCTCTCACATTCAGGCAAAGTTTCCAACATTTATTCTGTGCATTATTGAACAAAAGCACTGACTTGAATTCTTGGAGCATCTCTGCGACTAGTTTCTGAGCCATCCTGAAAGCAGCACATGCAACACGAACCTGAGTTCTAGTGAGCACCATGATTCAACAGTTTTTGCAAAAAATTAAATTTGAAGAGTTAAACACCCAAGAATACGTTGAAATTATTTTTTCTTATGAGTGATGATATTCGTGGTCATACCAAGTTTGTCATTACTTCAGGGGGGAAAAGTGTGATTTTATTTGCAATACCCCTTATTTGAAATACATTTTCTGTTTGAAAAAATGTGAACTTCTTACATGAGACTAATCTTCCTGTTTTCAACTTCTTTTGGGATTTTTTAAAGATATTTTTGAACCACCATTTATTTAATAATATAACATATTGAGGTACAATAACTTAGGATTAAGTTATTTTCTAATCCTAAACTATATTGTGGTATATTCAAATAGGTTTAAATTAACTTCAGAGCAATCAGGTAAGTCTATTTAACTCTTTCCATATGGGTATTCTTTTCTGTGCATATCGTGAGGTTTGTTTAAGTAATATTCCAAATTTAATTAAACTACTTTATTATGATGGTATATGAATAAGCTTGGCATCAACATTTTAATATTGTTTAAAGTTTACGTTCTTAATTTTATAAGGTAATACTGAAAACAGTCTTCAATTTTTTCTAGTATGAGAATTGTGACATTTGCTCTCTAGGTCTTCCCTCTTCTATTTAACACCCCTCTAAGAACTATGAATTTTATGTAAATTACTCATTATAATATTCTTATTTCTCAGGCAAAACATGATTTTTATAGCCTTCAAACTTATCTGGCTACAGAGACATAAACTTGAAAATCAGTCCCCTCTTGCCATGCCCACCTGTCACATTCTCTCTTTCAAAACTTGCCACTAGTTCTTTCTGATGTTTAATACAGTATTATTTATAATCAATAGAAAGCCAAAGTTTTAATCTATCAAATGATGTATCATGTTACATTGTTTTCTGCATAGAGAATTGCCTATTTTGCTTCCAGTTCAAATATTATTCACATAGGAAACACATCAACAAAATTAGCTGAATATTTAATGGCTCTTATCATACAGTTAGAAAGCCAAAAAATGATAAAAGTTATAGGACATTTTCTGTTCTTTACACATGTTATTATTCTGTATTATTGGGTGCATTGTTTAATTAAATAAAACATTATTTAGTGCAGTACTACCATTAGTATAAAAAAAATAGTAGTGTTACGTGTTATCGACAGTCGACGCAAAAATATATAAATAAAACTCAGTTAAGTACTATATTTCTTGTTTTCATGTGTATTTATTATTACTAAAATAACTAGAATGTAAAAATTAGCAACTTTTTAAGTAAATTAAACAAAATTAATAATAATAATTTTTCTTGAGGTATGATAGTGATGAATCGTGTGTTACATAATTCACTAGGGTAACATGAGCTACACATTTGTCATGTGATTTACAACTTGTGTGGCAGGATTATTAGTAAGACAGTTCATGTGGCAATAAAATAATAGAATTTATGTAGAAACAAATATCTGCTGTTATGAGTTTAAAACTATTTAGAATAAACAAATGTAGTTTATTGTTATAATTTGGAGTTGTTCTAGAAAGAAAAAAGAGTATTCTGTTACAACATCTTAACTCCCCTCACAAAAAGCTTTCTCATCTTATACTGCCCTCTATCGGCTTACATTTTCACTCACTACCACCAGCCTTGATACTCCCTCTACCAATAGGAGTGTAATTGGCAATCTTATTGGACTGACGTTTTATCACTCACGGTTTGATTCACTTATCCACATGTTTTTACTTAATTTTTCTACTTCAGTTACATTGTTTCTCAGTTTTTGTTCTCTTTTTGTGGAGTGTTACAAATTATTCTTTTTATCTTCTCTTTCAATTGTGAGAGTTATGCACTCGCAGTTTCCAGTGGTCACGATTACAACTGCTGTTGCTACACTAGGGGAATTACCGACCATTTTCCAACCGGTCGGAAACACGATTCTCATCTCATGAAGTGATGGCTCTAGTTTGTTCGGAAGATGACCATTTACATGCAACAATCAGAACAAAGTATTAAGATTTACAGTCATTAAAAAGTTTTGGATTTGGACAACCTTTTTGTCCCCCTCCTGAATATGCTTCTCAGGTGCTTGTTGTTTCAGGGTATTTGCATGGACCTCTTTCCCCTTTAGTGGATTTGAGTAAACTAATTAAGTGTTTTAATAAATATGTTACATTAATGAAATTAATAAGTACTTGCTACTACACATATAGGATTTTAATGCATATCCATGTGTTACATTTTGTCACTTAACCTTTTCTATATGGGTCATAGGTGAAAGGCCATGTCATCTCGTTTATTGACTCGCATTCAAAATTGTATTGTACTAGTATCTCATGAATTTATGTCAATAAGTTTGGTATCAAACTGTAGATTATAATTCAAATTTTAAAACTATATATTACTCAATTTGTTAATTTAAAAGCAAATATTGAAAAAAAAACAGATAAACATTGATTTTTGTATGTCACGTGGTATGTTGAATGCAGCACTGGTTCAAATTAGATGTTTGTGACGTCAAAATACTAAGTCTATACGTTCATACAAATTAGAAACCCAAATTACTGATATTGACAAGCTAGAATATAAAATAAAAAGTTCTTATCTTTCCAATTTGCTAAGATATTGCACACATAATAAATGAAACATAGTGGCACCCCACTGACTTCCTTCCATTTTTAGAAACGTTCCCTTATAAACACTTACTTCTATATATGACATGAATAACCAATTGGAAGCTCAGAATGTCCCCTTAGTGGTTTTCTAAGCCTTTCTAATGTACCTAGCATCATTTCTTTCTTTTAAATCAAGATTTCAATGAGGTAGGTTGTATCTTTAGTCTGCTCAAAATATAATATTTTTTTAGAGTGAACTACAACTTGGTTATTAAGCTTGATAAATTATAGTTTGATTCTATCATATTGATGTAGTAATTTATGATTTTTTAGTTATTCAAATATATATATATATATATATAATAAAAACTAAAAAAAATTAGACAAAAACGTAG